TAATAGATTTAACTGTTAAATTCAAGTTTAATACTGTTAATACATTTCTAAAATGATATAAAAATTAGTGACCCACAGTAAAACATGGATTTGTTTGTTAATTGACAGATATCTTGTATAATTATGGAAGTTTTCAGAACAAAAACGTTGATACATGTAGTTTATCAGGTGATAAGCATTGGTAAACTGTCCAAATACAGTTTTTATCAATGAAAACAGCAAAAATTAATGTAATTTTCACAGCTAAGATTTTCTTATTACAGTTGTAAAACTTAAATCTGATTAAATAAAAAAACTAAAATAATAACAGAACTCTTCTGTAAGTTTTAGCCAATTATTTGTATTATAGCAGTGTTATCTGTACTTTATAGCTCATTTAATTGTTTACAGTGTAAATATCTTTAATCATTAAATGTAAAATTAAAGCAAAAAAAAATGTATTTTCTGTTATACAGTCTTTTTTTGCGCCCCCAGCTAAACTTTAACAGTCCGGTGTTAATAGTTACCTGGTGGGGTGAACGTGGCAGCTATCGGAACAATCTGGTGAACCTCTGATGGCCCAACACACCTGTTTACACTCCTCAGCACTAGAAGAAGAAGAAACACAAACATCAATACAGAAACCAAACTCATACCAACGTGTGTCTTTGACTTTGATTAAATAAACAGTAAATGTCTGAAAAGATGACAGATTAGCAAATATATTTTAAGCTTTTCTAGTGTTTCATTTATGATTATTTACAGTTACAGATTGTTCACATTTTACATTAAATGTAAATTCATAGGATATTTTGAAAAATACAGAACAAACCCTGTAAACTAGCAGATTGATGACGGAATAAAATACAGAGGAAGAATAATGATACTCTGCGTCAACACTAACTTGTTGTTGTTTTCTTCTCCTTCAGGTTAAATCTTTTGTTGACCAACATTCAGAGGTGACGGCAAAAAGCTGCGACTGCAGACGAGGATCCAAAGGGACGAGATGAAGATGATGAAGGTGGAGGAGGGACTTTGAATGTGAAACAAGACGAATCGCTCTGATGGACTGACAGAGTGAAGACTGATTGGACAGACTGAGTCCTCCACCCCGACCCCTGACCTCACCTGACCTCACCTGCAGCAGGTGTCAGGTGGGCGGGGTCGGGTCCAGCAGGTGGGCGGGTCAGGACTTTGGAGGAGTTCACTAAGTGAACTGATGTGGATCAGTCCTGTTGGATCTTCATCGGTAATCAATCGTAGGACGTGCCTGGTCAACAGTTTTTAAGAGAAGATTTATTTTTGGGACTTTGGTCGTGATGTTTTTTGTCCGTGCCATACAAAGAGCCAAAAGATTTCCCATGATGCTCTTGGCTGAGCGGCTGCCTGTGGAGGCTTAATGCTGGAGGATTTGGCGTCACCTTTGACCTTTTTAACTTTGGTTGAATTTTAGTTGTTTTTCCACAAAGTGAGACAGAGTGAACTCTGGGTAATGAGACAGAGAGACTGACACCATGACATCATCGGTGATGTAGCCTTGTTGTAAACAATAAAAAAAACAACTGAATCAACAACAACGTCTGTTTTAGTGTTTAAATCTTCCTGTTTGAGACGTTACTGAAGTTGTCCGTCAGCAGCTGCTCCGCCTCTTTCTGTGTCTCTTGTTTTGGATTTTTTCACCCACAGTTCAGAGCAGCAGGTGAGCCGCGTGTGGAGGCTGTTTCTGTGGAGAGTTCGTACAGGACGGCGAACGTGAGCGGAGATTGTGGTCTAGTTAAACGACTGTGGAAGGCGTTCGTCTCTGGACTCTACAACCATTAATGTTTTCATACTTCTGTTTCCAGCTGGTATTAGACAAGTGGACAGTTCTAAATACAGTGTGAACGACCGCAGAGACGAATTGTGATCAGATCAATCAAACCACTTCCTGAGGTGACCTGGGACGCATGTGACCACATATCCTTTGTAGTGTAAACGCTGATGAGTCCTGGGTCACAGAAACACGCTGTCTGATTGGTTCACTGTAATGCAGATTGTGTGTTTGAGCTCTTTTATCTGCAGAGATCAGCCGCAGATGTTTGTTTCAGCTGATTTGACCTCTGAACTATTAACCACAATATCACCCAAAAAATCGCAGAAAGAAACTTTATGAACTTTGTGAAACGCTGTCTGCGACATATTAATTAATTGGGCCTTCTTGTAAATAACGTTATACATTAAATTATATCCCAGTGTGTTGGATAACAGATGGCGGTCCAACCTCCTCTACTGGTGTCCAGTGTGAGGCACTCTCGGGCTGACAGCCCTCCAGCAGCCCCGCGACAGGAGTGACGCACACTTTTACTTTCTGTGGCTTGTCTTTCTTCGTCATCTGTGAGATGAAACATCAGATTTACACACAGTTGAAAAAAAGTAAAAATGTGCGTCCTGCTCATAAAGTTGTTATAAAATCCCACAATGCACCACAGAGCGTCTCTCCTGCAGGGCTGCTGACAGCGCTAAGAGACTAAAGCCAGTGTAAGGACAGTAATAATGGACGTTGACAGGGTACAGCCCTCTAACAATGTTTATTTGCATATAGTGCGAGGAAGTGAGCGCAGAGGTCAGATGTATAAATCACATGTACACACGAAAAGTGCCACTCGCGCCACTTTCCACGCCATGTTTCCAGATGTATAAAAACCCAGGCGTGGTGAGACTGCTTACTGGTGTCTTTCCTTCTGTCTTCAGTCAATGTTTGTCACTGCATAATAATTATTACAATAATCTTTATATAAATAAGGAAATAAATACATGATCTTTAACAAAAATAGACATTATCCTGTATTATTGAGGTGTGAGAGACCGATAAACGGCTCGGTAAATATTGCTAGAGACCGTTAGTTCAAGTTCAAAATATAACACATTTTAGTAAAATTGTGCTGCTTCATTTGCTTCGTCGATTCTCCTCAAAACGTATCTAAATGCTGATCCTTCACATGCAGATCAGGCAGGTCTGGCTGGGGGTGTGTTTCAAGCCATTTCCAGTGAATTGTGGGAAAGGTCAGAAGCATGATTGAGATGAATGAGGGGAACAGACGTACGTGAGGTTTTATAAATCTGTCCAAAAGACTGCGAATGCATGTAAACTGATGTACTTAAAGCTGTCCACTTGTGATCAGATCACCGGAGTGTTCTAATACCAGCTGTACACGATGTGGACTGCTTTTAACAATTAACTTCATTATTATTTCATCTGCCAGTGATGTTATTGATTAATCACCCATAATCATATTGTCATAAAACAGTCAAAACCCAAATTCAGTCACACTGGAGGATGGATGCTGGTTTTTAATCAATTATCATTCATAGAGTCCCTTTAAAGTTCACCTTCCTGTCGAACTGCAGGAAGTCTTGAACCAATCGAGTATGTGCTTCATTCAGTAATATGACACAGCTGATGTCACTGCTGCCCTCTGGGTAATGTGATGTCATCACTGTAGCTCCATCCTTTGTGTGGGAGACCCTGTCAACTGGGAGTTCTGGTTAAACTGGTTTATGTTTGTCACCCGATACTCAGACCTGAACCAGCTGAGAGTCCAGACCAGTCTCTGAAATCTTGAATCAACGCAGAAACAGATTTGTTTGGAACTTTTCATAAAAGATACTAAAACTTTGATTATCTGTGAATATTCAACAGTTCGTTCTGATGGGGGCGCTACAGGAAACATTAACATCTAAATATGGAAATAGCTGCAACTGATTGAGTATTTTCATTATGATGAATCATGTTTACGGACGTCTGAAGAGATTCAGTTCACTGAAATAAAACTGATAAACTGTAAATATTGGCATTTGAGAAAGAAACAAGGGAGCCTTGAAGTCATCACAGGATCTGGACTCTGGACAGGATGTTGTGATCAGGTCCTTCAGAGACTTACAGTGAATTTAAATAATGATGTAAAAACAGCTGATGTATGAAAGAATACTGCAGCGGCGTTTATTGAAATCCTGAATACACTCACTGAAAGTAACTGAAATGATGTCAAACAGTTTACAGACACACTGATGTATTTGTGGTCATTAAATGCATCAGAAGTTAAAAGGTCAGAGGACAGTGTGAGATCAGTATTAAAGACTTTGTTTTATGAAATTCCTGTACCGTTTATGGAGCAGAAATAATCAAGTACACAAATTTATACTGAATACAAAAAGCGCACAAAGTGTCTGTAAAGGGGAGACTTGTGGGTAACCATAGAACCCGGTCAGAGGTCAGTGGATCCCTTTGAAAACAGCCATGCCAGTTTTTCCATCACCAATATTTAGCCTAACTTTGGAGCGTTATTTAACCTGTTAATTATTTTATTATTCCCTCACAAGCTAGCATGACGTGGTCGCTACCGATGGATGCTTCACCAGCTTATGGTCACCACAACCCCTTGAATGTCCCGTCGTCCTATTCTGGCGCCGGTTTTACAGCAAACCGGCTGTTAGTTGTATGGTTACGTTTAAACTTCGGTTATAAAAACATCATTGATCTCACATTACCTCGCCGCTGTTTACAGAAGAAATATGTTACATCGTTTTATAGGAAACAGTACCGCTTCTGTCCACAGGGGGCGCCATAGTCTACTCACAATGAATATTCCCTGTTGCTGCTTTAACTTTCAGTATACTGTATATATACAGTATATGTATGTATACAGTATACTGCAAGTTTATATACATATACAGTATATATACACAATCAGCATCGTGGACCTGAACCTGGACTGCAGGGTTCATTAAAGGACTAGTTCAGTACAAATCTCAACAGGATGTGGATTCGCTGTTTGTCTCAGGATCTCCTGAACCTCTGCGAGTCCCGGAGCTGCTGCCAATGATGATTATGATGATGATGATGATGATGATGCAGTCCTCCTATCAGGTTCCTGGTGTTCAGGGGACGTTGGGGTTCCAGGGTCCCTGGATGTGCTGGTTCTGCAGGAGCCTCTGCAGCTCTTTGAACTGCTCCACCGTTTGGTCCTTCACGTCAGGGTTGGAGATCTGCAGGCGGATGCTATCTGTGGACCAGCTGAGTTCTCCAGAGAACATCTCGGTCAGGATCCGAGCTACCACAGGAACCACCTGAGGACAACAAGAACCAGGTTCAAACTGGACAATCAGATCCACAAGGGAACCTTGTTACCCACTGTTAGTCTATTATTATGATATTATATACAAACCAATGGGAGACGTTACATGAACCGACCTGCACTATAATGAGTTTCTTCTCTTTGGGTTTCCTGTCGGGCCAGTCCTCCCCGAAGCAGAAGTAGATCTCAAAGGGGGGCGGGTTCTGAGCTTCCCCTCGCTGGAACAGGATCAGCCCTGTGGACAGAAGAACATGTAACACCTGGATCTGACCCTGTACTCGGGTTCTAACAGCTGATTAGTCACCTTGGAGGAAGTCGTTGAGGCTGAACACTTTGATCTTCTTTTCCCTCTCCATGGGGTTCGGTGGACCCTGTTCGGGAATGCCTGGTCCAGACCAGAACACCTTACACTGACAGAGACGGACAGCGTAGATGTCCTGCTGCCAGATCTCCAGGATCAGGCCACGGTCCATCACGTCCAGCAAGGCATCGGTGTAGAACCGCTGCTTCTGGTTCTGAATGTCAGACGTTCCCGGGAACCGTACCTGCTGCAGGCTGACGGGTCCGAACAGGTCCACCTGCTCCGGGGTCGGCTCCAGGTGTCCGTAGTACAACCGGCAGCCCTGAGGGTTACTGACGGACAGAGAGCCCATCGTCCGGCCCCGGTACTGGAACTTTAGGTCCAGATCTGTTACTACGGCGACAGAGAGAACAGTTATTATATCTGTTACTATGGCAAGAGGACCAGGGCCATTTAAACAAGAGTGGGCGGAGAACCAACTGTTGAACCACAGAACCTGTTCCAGTTGACTGTGAGCCAACAGGTGGGTGTGACATCATCCTCCAGTCTCTTTAACAGGTTTCTACCTGCTGAATGTGAAACTGTGTCACACCTGAGAACTCAAACTACCAAAACCCCCACAACTCGAGTCCACTTCAGATCGATGATTCGCGACCAGGCGAAACCGATTGCAGAACGTGACGGACCCGACTCCCCTTTACTTACTGCTTTTGTGCTAAGCTAGGTCTCAACAACCACAGGTCAGAGGCCATACTCACGTGGAACGCTGCTCAGCAGGTCGCAGGGTTGGTGGTTTTGAGGGTCTCCCTGGTTCTGGACGCCCCCCATGCTGCTAGCCTCCATTGGGGACGGATGCGGGGGAGCAGAGACAGCTTGGGGGGGCAGAGAATTCAAGTCCTGGAGTCCGTTAGAGAGTCCTGCAGGGTGGACGAAGCTCCTCTGATCCAACAGCCCACCCCGAGCCTGGAGCTCCGAGGTCAGGGGCAGGTCAGAGGTCATGGGCAGGTCAGAGGTCATGGGCAGGTCAGAGGTCATGGGCAGGTCTTGTTCTGGAAGGAGGGGTATGGGGATCAAATGTGGAGGTCCAAATGTCCCATTGCTGGACAGACTGAACTGATCCACCTCTGAAGGGGCTGTGAAGGGGCTGTAGGAGGGGGGGTCACTGATCCTGGGGTCTGATAAGACATTACATCATCATATTACATCATCCGAGTCACTATCAGCCCTGTGTCTGGTTCTGGTTCAGGTATTGTTGGGTTGGTGGAAGTGATATATATTATACACATTTACACATTACATACATACATACATTTATATACATTAGTGTCTCTACTCGGTCTGGAATCAATAAAGGAACTGATCATTGCATTGGTATGAATGAAATCTTATCAATCCCTGTGTGCTGCTGGGTTCAGTGGTTCTGGTCCAGTACTGAAAGTGGCCTGGAGTCAGTCTTTAACTCTCTGATCACTCTGTTCATTTATTTCCCCAGTGTGGATCAATAACGTCAATCTTTTGTTATTTATTGATTGTAAATCGGTCCAACAGAACAAAAAGAGCTTTGTCTTGCGGCGTCTGATGTGAAACACAATCAGAACCAGAACCAGAAACTTCCAGGTTCCAAATAGTTTGAGAGCAATAAATCAATAAGTGAACTAAAGTTTCGACTTACTGATGCTGAGCTCCATCAGATTGGGCATCTGAGAACAAAGATTGTTGTTGTTAGTCCGCAGATAAAAACATCAGCCGTTTGTGTTTTAACACGTTTTATTGCTCACCTCTTCATCCTCGTCATCAACAGCATCTGAAACAGGAACCAGATCAAATCTTTAATCAGTTTGTTAATTCCCAAGAACTCAATGGACGATGAAAAAGCTTGAATGAATACGAGTTACACGAGTACACACATACAGAGGTCATGACCTCAGCGTGCCCCACCTGCGTTCCCGGGCTGCTCACAGACCTCGTAGATTTTATACGGTTGGACCGGAGTCTCTTTAGTGCCGTCGTACTTCAGCTGGAACTCTCGGCTTTTGTTCAGAGCACAGCGAAGGTTTGCTTTCCACTTGGCGGGGTCGGGTTCGTCCACACCTTCCTGGTATTTACCGGTCTCCAGAGCCCACGCCTGGAAGACACAGAGCAGGGTTTGTTTTAGAACAAAGCTAAGCTAGCGGTTTCCCTGTCTCAGCCGTACATGTTTCTATAGCAACAGGCTCTACAGTGTGAACAGTGAACATAAAAGCAGAAGCAGTGAAGGAGGAAGTGACATCATCAGTACAGTTCAGTGAGGAGTCAATTTGCAGTTTTACAGGAAGTGAAACTGTGAGGCTGAAACAGGAAGTGGACCAAATCTGTTTCAAACTGTTTCAGACTGTCTCAAACCTTTCCAAATTTTTCCAAACTGTTCCAAATTTTTCCCAAACAGTTCCAAATGGCTCAAACTGTTCCAAACTGTCTAAAATGTTCCATAACAAACCCTGTCAAACTGTTCCAAACTGTCTAAACCTGTTCCAAACTGTTCTAAAACTGTCTAAAACTGTTCCAAACTGTCTAAAACTGTTCCAACTGTCTCAAAACCGTTCCAAACTGTCTAAAACTGTTCAAACTGTGCTCAAACCGTTCCAAACTGGTCTAAACTGTTCCAAACTGGTCCCTAAAAAACTGTTCCAAACTGTCTCAAACTGTTCCAAACTGTCCTAAAATGTTCCAAATTTTCCAAAAATGTACTCAAACTGTCCAAAAACGTCTCAAACGTTCACTAACTGATCTCCAAACTGTTCCAAACTGTCTAAACTGTCCAAACTGTCTCAAACCAGTTCAAAAACTGTCTAAAACTGTTCCAAACTGTCTAAAACTGTTCCAAACTGTCTCAAACGCGTTCCAAACTGTCTCAAACTGTTCCAAATTTTTCCAAACTGCTTGCAAATTTTACCCAAACAGGTTACCAACAGCTCAAACAAGTCTCAAATTCTTTCCAACCTTCCAAACAGTTCCACCATTGGTCCTCGAGACCTGCTTCCAAATTTTTCCCAAAAGCCTCACATTGTTCAAAACTGTTTCACGACTGTCTCAAAATGTTCCAAACTTTCTCCAAACTGTTCCAAAGAACTGTCTCCAAACTGCTTCCATAACTGTCGTTAAAACTGTTCCAAACTGTCTAAAACTGTCTTAAAACTGTTCCAAACTGTCTACCAAACTGTTTCCAAACTGTCTTCAAAACCGTTCCAAACCTGTCTAAAAACTGTTCCACAACATGTCTCAAAACGTTCAAACTGTCAAAACTGTTCCCAAACTGTCCTCAAACTGTTCCAAAAACTGTCTCAAACTGTTCCAAAACTGTTCTAAAACTGTTCCAAATTTTCCCAAACTGTCTCAAACTGTCCAAACTGTCTCAAACCCGTTCCCAAACTGTCTCGAAACTGTTCCAACTGTCTAAAACTGTTCCAAACTGTCTCCAAACCGTTCCAAACTGTCTAAAACTGTTCCAAACTGTCTAAAACTGTTCCAGAACTGTCTCAAACCCGTTCCAATACTGCTCTCAAACTGTTCCAAATTTTCCCAAACTGTTGCAAATTTTACCCCAAAACAATGTTACCGAACAGCTCCAAACAGTCTTCAAACTTTTTCAACTCTTCCAAAACAAGTTCCACATGGTCTCAAATGTTCCAATTTTCCCAAAAGCCTCACATTGTTCAAAACTGTTTCCAGACTGGTCTCAAACTGTTCCAAAACTTTCCTCAACGTTCCAAACTGTTCCAAACTGTTCCAAACTGTTCTCAAACTGATTCCAAATTTTTCCAAACCGTTTCAAACTGTTCCAAACTTTTCCAATACTGTTACAAATTTTTCCAAACTGGTTCAAAACTGTTCTAAACTCCATGATTTTCTGTTCTAACACACCTCCCAGGTTCACAAGTCAGAGCGTCAGTTGTCAGAGGTCAGAGGTCAGTTTGCAGAGGCAGAGTCAGTGTTGAGCTGCTGAGGATTAATCTGACCTTGAAAATTGTGTTTTTCCTCGTCCTGATGTTGGCGTGTGGCGTGTAGCATGGCCTTCCAGGGGATCTGGAAAGTCGGTGGGTCCTGGACTGAGCCACTCGTAGACCGAGGATACCTGCCGCTGTTCACCTGAGCCAGCAACAGGGCTTGCAGGCGGATCCCTCCGGGCTGGATGCCAATTTTAATCCTGACATCCACAATGATGTCAGTGACATTCAGAGAGATCAATATATTATTATTATTATTGATCCACACCAATCCTGCAAGTGACTTCACTCAGTTAATCAATAAATCAATCAGTCACTTAATCAATCAGTCTGCTGTACTGAATGTTTGTTCTCTGTTTCTGAATTCAACATGTTTTGCTTCCTTAAAACTTTCTGGGAATCGCTGACTCACGTCATGGACCCCAGATCTCAAGACCACGATCTGGACCCTGGACTGGACCCGGGACCCAGGACCGGACCGGACCAGGAACCTGGACAGGGCCAGGGACCTGGACCGGGACCAGGACCTGGACGAGACGTCAGAGCCGCTGCCGTGCGTTGCGTGCGTGTGTGTGTGTGTGTTGGTGATGCAGCTCGCGATTTTAATGATGGACTCAACCTGGTCCCGTCCAGGTCCTGCCCGTGACTATCTCCGAGGTCCGTTAAACAGCCAGCAAGATCGGCTGACTCAACAGACAACAAATACAAACCGAAACAATCAAACAAACAAATAAACCAAACAGCCCGCCGATACGGGAAGGAGCGCTCAGAAACCCCTTCACGCAACTCAGAATCAGAATCCGGATAGACCCGAGACACGTGAGAGCACCTACTTCCTGTCAGAGCAGAACAAAATAAAAGTCTCAGTCACTCAAAACCTTCAAAAATAAAAAAGAACAAAGTAGAAAAAAGTAAAGGAGAAAGTACTTCACCTAAAAATTACATTATAAATATAAAATAATACAGCTTTCAAATATAATAATTACAGGTATAAATATAAATATGTACATTATAAATATAAAATTACAGTATAAATTAAATATCACAGTTTTAAATAGGTAAAAAATATTACAGTATAAATATAAATATTTAACATTATAAATATAAATATTACAGTATCAAATATAAATAATACAGTATAATACGTAAATATTCACATCTTATAAAATACAAATATTACAGTAATAAATATATAATATTGACAGTAATTAAATAATAAATAATAACAGTTTAAATATTAATATTACTTATAAATATATAATATTACAGTATAAATATATAATACTTACCACGTTTAAATACTAAATATTACCAGTATAAATATACCATATTACAGTAAAATATAAATATTGCACAGTATGAAATAGTAAATATTACAGTATAAATATAAATAGCCTCTGCTCTGTACTGATGTTTAAGTGTATCATATATATCATATATATAACCATCATTACCTCATTTATCCACAATTGTATCATCTTTAACAATTTAATAATAATAACAATAATAGTATAATATAAGGGTAAGGAGGATAATAAAATTAGGTTGTTCATGTTGGTCCAATTATAAGTTTTTATTGTGACGGTGTGTCAGGTGGTTTCCCTTGTTGTGGTCGTTTTTGCAGAGTAGTTCAGGGTCCTCCCCCCCTTTCTCCCTCTCACCTCCCTGCACTTCCTTCCGCTGCCAGGACGGAACTAATCTAACTGAAAAGTTTTCATTTTCCAATAAACCCTCCCTCTGTTCATCAGTGTTTAAACTACAGTTTATTACAGTGGTAGAAGAAAGAACATAAGACCTGACCTCAGTGGCTTCGTCTTCCTTGCTGTGAAATAATGCAGACGAGTAGGTTCACTAAATCAGTGGGAACACCTGATATGGTATTATGTGTGTGGATTGGTTGTTTTGTTTGTTTGTTTGTTTTGTGGAATATTACAGTGTTTGTAGTTTCATTAAATATTTTTGTAGTCCCACTTTAAACAACAGTTTATTATCAAGAGATGATCTCAGTCTGACCTAAGCGGGGGAGCTGCAGCTTCACAGCTGATTGTGTCCTGGAGTGACTTTCATCAAGTGAACATAAAAGTAAACCACAGATTCTTCTTCTGGGTTTATTAACTGAGCAGAAAGACGACAGGGAAGTGAAAGAGAGTAACAAACGAAACATCGTTCCTGTAGAAACACTTGTGGTGTTTGATCAAATCAATCATACCGTCACCTGCATCAATAATTCACTCATACTCGAAATCAATAATCTGACTTTTAACAGCTGATACATAAAGTTGTGGAGGATCAATAATTACACACAGAGTTACATGTGAATGTATTACTGACACAGAGACTCCTCTTCAGATCTCAACATCAATCATCAGACTGCCCACTCCAGGTTATTGATCAGATTTCAGAAACAGTCCAATTAAAGTGGGAAAAACCCGGACTCGAAACCCAGGCCGCTTTGCGGTAACGGACCAATATTCCAACACATCCTGCACATTTTCCATCTGTGGAACATTTCTCTCCACCGAAACCACAACAACAACCGACAAAGTAAACATGATTTATTGTTAAAGATTGGTGATTGGCTGCCGGCAGAGAGTCCAGATTAAAGTTCCTGGCCTGTGACTTCGGCCTGCCGCAGAGAGTCCAGATTAAAGTTCCTGGCCTGTGATTGGCTGCCGCCAGAAGAGTCAGATTAAAAGTCCTGCCTGTTGATTGGCCTGCCGCAGAGAGTCAGATTAAAAGTCTCCTGGCCTGTGGATTGGCGTGCCGCAGAGACCATTCCCTCTGATGTGGGACTCTTCAGGAGACCATCTCCCTGTACC